GCTGTTTCTCTGTCTTTGGATCTGTCCCTGTTCATCAGTCTATGTTGTTCTCTATATTCCACAAATGAGTGAGATCATGTGGTATTTATCTTTCTCTGACTGGCTTATTTCACTTAGCATAATGCTCTCCAGTTTCATCCATGCTGTTGCAAATGGCAAGAGTTCCTTCTTTTTTACCACAGCGTAGTATTCCATTGTGTAGATGTACCACAGTTTATTTTTTTGACTGCATTTCTGTGAACTGTCTTCCCCCCATAGGCATATCCCTGGAGGCATATCCCTACAGAAAGCAGATTAGTGACTGCCTGGGGCTAGGGCGGGAGGACAGGGAGGGGGCACTGGGAAAGGGAGGCGACTGTTAATGGGTTTGGGTTTAAAGTCTTACAATTGGCTCCTCTCTGAAGGGGCGTGGCTAGGCCCTGGGGGCGTGGCTTGACTAAAGGGCGGGACGAGCCAGCTTAAAGCCCGGCTGAGGAGCAGCAGCTCACCTTGTGGTGGCTGTTTCCCGTGGAGGCATGGAGGAGTGCGCTCGCCTCTGCGGAGTGGGCTCTCCCCGGGGATGTCGGTGTCATCAGAAGCGCCAGCGCCCAGCGGAGATGGCAGCTGCCGAGGGCAAACCAGCCCCGGTCCCGGCAGAAAAGCACCTGGAGGCGGACGCGGCAGCGCGGTGCTGTGCGGGGAGTGGAGGAATCGCGAGCCCCATGCCAACCCTTTTTTTTTCTGCTCGCTGCAGGACCTGCCGGTGGAGATGCTGGTCGAGATCTTCGCCTCGCTCCCCGGCACCGACCTGCCCAGCCTGGCCCAGGCCTGCACCAAATTCCACCACATCCTGCACATCGACAGCATCTGGAGACGGCGCTGCCGGGAGGAGTATGGCGTTCGTGAAAACTTGCAGAACCTGGAGACCATAGGTATCTCTTACCGAGAAGTCTATGCGAAGATGTTCCCATACAGACACATTTTGGGTTTGTGGAAGCTAGAAAGTAGCTATAAAAGACTGCTGAATGTCGTGGTGGACGGCTTATGCATTACTGGTTGGACGTACAGGCCTTCCCTTGACACCCATGTGGATGGCCCAATGCCATTCAAGCCCGCGTTCAGAATTTGCCTGACGGAATGGAAATCAGCCACGGTGGAGTGCATGGAAGGCCGCCACAGCAGGCCCCACAGCTGCCACCTGCAGATTCAGAAGGACAGGCTCACCCTCCAGTGCAAGAAGACAGACCACCGAAAGGATTCACCCACGCGGCTTAGGAGAGAAGTGGGGCTGGGGCTGGTGCGGGAGGACAGACAGCAGTATGACTGCCTGACCTACCGCCGCCTCTACCTCCCGCCCAGCCACCCGGACGACCTCATCAGGCCAGGCCTCTTCCAATGCAAAGACGATGACTTGGGCCTAATGATTGCCATGCTCAGCTTCCATGGGAAGTATGCCAGGCTCACGACGGTCACGGGAGACTTAATCTGGACTTTAGAGATCCATCTCATGCGCCGCATCCAGCTGCGAGATGGCGAGTTCTTCCGCGACTTCGACGAGCTCTCCCGCGTGGTCCAGGAGATCCCAGGCTCACGACGGTCACGGGAGACTTAATCTGGACTTTAGAGATCCATCTCATGCGCCGCATCCAGCTGCGAGATGGCGAGTTCTTCCGTGACTTCGACGAGCTCTCCCGCGTGGTCCTGGAGATTGACGAGCAGGTGATCCGGGAGCAGCAGCAGCAGCAGCAAGAAGACGGGACTGAGGAAAGCGAGGGCCATGGCTGGCAGAGCCCTGCCCAGCCCAGCGTCGGGTCCGGGGCTTTCGGAGGAGCAGCCTGTTCCGTTTGTTCTGCCTGTGGGCGTGCGCTCAGGAGACCAGAACTACCCCCGGACCTGC